ACAACCATCGGGGATGTGAGAGGATGTGCTTTATCCATATAAAACCGCTTCAGAACCTTCTTCGTGTAATTTGACTGGTGGATGAATATTCCGTCTTTCAAATGGTCAATTTGAAGACCAAGACAGAATTTTGTTCTCCCAAGATCTTTCATCTCAAATTCTTTCATGAGATATTTTGCAGTATTTTCTATTTCATCAGAAGTTCCAATGATGTTTAAATCATCAACATATACTGCAATAATGGCAAAGCCTGATTTAGATCTACGGATGAAAACACGTGGACTAATTGGATCATTTTTGTATCCTTCTCTGAGCAGATATTCACTGAGACGATTATACCACATTCTGCCAGATTGTTTTAGTCCATATAGTGATTTTTCCAATTTTATGGAAAACATCTCTCGAGGTTTTGAACTATAAACCTCTGGCATCTTTAGCCCTCCAGGAACTTTCATATATATGTCAGTATCGAGAGATCCATATAAATATGCTGTCACTACATCCATTAAACGCATTTGAAGTTTTTCAAATACAGACATGCCTATCAAAAATCTCAACGTAGTTGCATCAACTACTGGGGAATAAGTTTCTTCATAATCTATCCCCGGAATTTGAAAAAAACCTTGGGCAACGAGTCGGGCTTTATATATCACAATTTCATTTTTCCCATTGCGCTTACGCACAAAAACCCATTTGAAACCAACTGGTTTCACGCCTTTTGGCGTAGGAACTATAGGCCCAAAAACACTCCGTTTTTCAAGTGATTTCAATTCTGCCTGAATTGCTTCGTTCCATTTTGGCCAATCATGTCTACGTCGACATTCATCAACTGAAGTTGGCTCAATGTCATCATTTTTACCCATGATGTTTGTGGCAATGGCATATGCGAATATATCATCAACATGAACATCTTTTCTGTTCCATTGTAATCCCGTAGAAACGTAATTTATTGAAATCTCATAATTATCAACGTTTCTATCTTCATCTGAATTATTCGCATCTTCAGAGATGGTTAAATCCTCATTTGAAACATATTGTTCGTTAATATTATTTTTTATATCAACATGCTCGGTTCGTTCATTTTCTTTCTTTGAAGAATGAACGTCTTTTGTTTCAAGTATTGTCTCTTGCCTTTTAAGTTTTCTTGGTTTTACATCTTTTGAACCAAGTGGTCTGCCACGCTTTTTGCGTATTGAAGACTCATTTGCAAGAGTTTTTTCATTTGTCTCTGAAGGAATTTCAATTCTGGCAGGAGCATTCATAGCTGGAATATGTGACTTTGTCACTTTCTTTGAATCTGTGAATGCGTCAGGTAATTGATTTGCAACATTTTGTAAATGAATTATCTTTTGCACTTCTTGTTCGTATGCATTTGTTCTTGAATCAAGAAAAGATAACCGTGTTGCATTCCATGTAATCTCTTTCGTACATGGGTCCTTTTTCTCATTTTCTCCCCCTAAGGCTGGGAATACTGTCTCATCGAAATGACAGTCAGCAAACCGAGCTGTGAATAAATCACCAGTCATTGGCTCAAAATATTTTATAATTGAGGGAGAATCAAAGCCAACATAAATTCCCAGCCTTCTTTGAGGACCCATTTTTGTACGATGTGGTGGAGCAATTGGTACATATACGGCACATCCAAATATTTTTATGTGAGAAATATTTGGTTCTTTTCCCGTAACCAATTGCAATGGGGAAAAAATATGATTTGCAGTAGGCCTTAGCCGAATTAAATTTGCAGCATGCAATACAGCATGTCCCCAAACAGATGCAGGTAAACTGGATTTCATCAATAATGATCTAGCAATTAATTGTAATCGCTTTATTAAAGACTCAGCAAGACCATTTTGAGTATGCACATGAGCAACTGGATGCTCCACATCAATCCCAATAGACATGCAATAGTCATTAAATGATTGAGATGTAAATTCCCCTGCATTATCAAGTCGGATTTTCTTTATTGAATAATCCGGAAATTGAGCTCTCAAACGTATTATTTGAGCAAGGAGTTTTGCAAATGCAAAGTTTCTTGTAGATAAAAGACTAACATGTGACCAACGTGTTGATGCGTCGATCAACACCATAAAATAACGAAATTGTCCACATGCTGGGGCAATTGGCCCACAAATATCTCCTTGAATTCTTTCTAAAAATGCAAGAGATTCAACTCCAATTTTATTTAGAGATGGCCTGACAATCATCTTTCCAAGAGAGCAGGCAACACATGGAAAATCAATTGATCTTGGAATCCTTATATTTTTCAATGGATGTCCAAGTGAATTTTGATTTATTTTGTGCATCATTACACTGCCAGGATGACCCAAACGGTCATGCCACAAAATGAATGTTTTCTGATCATCTAATTTTTTATTAGAGATAACATTCACTTCAACGGGACTAATGTGAGTATAATATAGCCCCAAGGAATACGCTGGCATCTTTTCACAAAGAATTTTATTGCCAGATTTGGTTGTCGTTAGACACAAGTATTCCTTTTGATTTTCTGTCATGGTTTCAATGTGATAACCATTTTGACGCATATCTTTAAAGCTCAATAAATTCCTTCGGGATTTGCTAGAATATAATGCGTCTTTGATAATTAATTTTGTTCCTTGGGGAAGGATTAAACAAGCTATTCTAGACCCTTCAATGAGCTTCGCAACACCAGAGATTGTATTGACATTAATTTCCATCAATGTCATTTGAGAAAAATATTCTTTGTTTCTCAAAATGGTGTGCGTTGTGGCACTGTCAATTAGACATTGTTCTTTGCCACTGAAGCCATAAGCAGTTATCTCCATATCTTGAATACAAATAAATATATAAATAAATATAAGTTAAAGATAATTAACACAAATATCATACATTTTATTATCATTATTTTTTTTAGAAGAGACATAATAATACAAGCACACATGAAAATAAAATACAAATTTCTAACATTTATTTAAAAAGTAAACACACCATAACGGAGTAAATGAAAATGTTTAAATAGTAGTAGTTCCACCAAAGGTCACTTCATCACCAATTTCAGCATCATCCATGTAGAAATCGGACACGTCAAATTTAGGCAAAATTGGATTGATATCATCAGCATAATTAGCTTCCACATTTTTCCCTTTTCCTTTTGTGGAAGCCTGGTATAATTTAACCAAATGTTTTGCCGTTCGACATTCATTCGCCCAGTGTCCTTTTATGCCACATTTGTAGCATTCACCACTTGGTTTTGGCTTTTCATAAGTTTTAGCCTGTGGTGGTTTGAATTTTCCTTTTCTTTGGAGGATGATCCATTTGGATTTTTATAGCCCCTGTTCGGCCCTTTGTTGCGGTTATTTCCGCGTCCACGTTTAAAGTGTCCGCGAGCACCACCTTGGATAATATTTGATTCTGGTGCTGAACCACGATCCGGATGGCCAAAATTTGTAGGGCTACAACCGGTGGGCCTCATGTTATGATTTTTCATTAAGAGCTCATTATTCTGCTCAGCAACAAGTAATACTGAGATTAACTCAGAATACTTTTTAAAGACCCTTTCTCTGTATTGCTGCTGTAATATCACATTTGACATATGCATGGTGGAAAAAGTTTTCTCCAACATGTCATGGTCAGTGATATTATGTCCACATAATTTTAATGTGGACGTGACTTTAAAAATAGCAGAATTATAGTCACAAACATATTTGAAATCTTGGAATCTCAAATTGATCCATTCATATTGAGCTCTTGGCAATAGGACCTTTTGTTGATGTCTATATCTCTCTTGGAGATTATCCCATAATTCCTTCGGATCTTCCACCAATAAATATTCAGATTTTAAACTTTCATGAAGGTGGTGGCGAAGGAAAATTATGGCTTTTGCCTTTTGCTGAGATGATGATGTATTATTCTCAGCAATTGTATTTTCGAGGCCATTAGCCTTAAGGTGAGCAAGTGCATCAATCCTCCATTCCAGGTACCTTTGACCGGATAAATCAAGAATGTCGAATTCTCTTTTGGTGATGTTGGCCATGGAATAACTACAACATATTAAATTAAATTTATTAGTTTTTTTTTTAATTTATAGATAAGTTGAATACAAAAAATGAAAAATCAATATCCGTTTTTTTTTAGTTGGTTCAACACACCATCACAAGAAAAACATACAAGATTCCATGTAATGAATATATAAAATAATAAGGGAAGGGGTGGGTCACATGTTTCGAGAGTATTTTTTTTAAAATATATATATACGTATTCCATATCAAAAAGAAAAAGACAAAATAATTTAAATAATGTATAATAATTTTTACTCTATGCCTTTTAAAAGAAAGATATACTCCCTCAACTAGTGGTCAGTACGAAAAGAAAACAAACATACTCACTCAAGATATTAAGAACCAAAAGGAAAAAGACAAACTAATCTACTGATGAGTACGAAAAATATGCTTCCACTATTAGTTGATTGGAGTGTTTATATCATGCTCCCCTCTCTCTCTTTCATATAGTTTCAAACCAAAGAAGAATACAGTACCATATAGTTTCAAGTAATAAATTATAAGAAATTTATATGCGGGGAGTCTACAATTCATGCATAGATTAATTTAAGGTATGTTCATAATTGAATTCGAATTTATCTTTTTAATTTATTTTTTTTTTAAAACTACTTTGTACTAAATTCTACTCTGTTTTAATTTATAAAAAAAACATGATTTTCGGATATTATGAGGAAACTTATTCCTTTTTAATTTATCTAATTTTATTTTTATAACTATAAGTTTCTGATGTGAAGGATCCCAACTGTGGGCAATCACAGAGCATACTTCTCATATTTTTTTTAAGAAAATATTTTAGTTTGTTTATTGAAGAAAATAAAATAAATATACCTTTTGAGGAGAACAAGGATTTTGAGATTTTTGAGCAAATTCGTGCTGATAACGTGTTATAAAATGAGAGAAAAACTACTCAGAGATTATGAGAATAGATATAATATATTTCTGATTTCTTCTCTCTATTAATTCTTCACTCTTCTTCTTATTCTTAATGGTGATTACAATGCAGGGATTAGGCCTCTATTTATAGTGGAAAGCCTTGGTATGGATACAAATACAAGTAGGAAATACTGTACATAATTGATACTCATCAATGAGTGTCTTAATCTACTATTTTAGAAATTAGTCCTGATTAATTGAATAAATGAACAATTATTAATTTCATAACATAAATATAATATTTGATGATTAATTAATTAATTGAAGAGAATTTGTGCCATGTACTCCGTAATTTATATGGGATTAGGCGGTCTTGTTCCGCACCGTAGAAAACGTACGACAGGACGTCACCTGCCGGAAAATGTTGAATTCTTCGGACAATAATTACTTTACAAATGTTGAATTCTTTTTCAAATTCAATTATGTCTACAAAAAATGGTAAGAGTACTTTATTTTGTATTTCGAAGACATACACCAATATTTTGTCGGTATAATTTTTTTTAGATTGAACTGATATTTTTTATCAGTATGAACTGCTAAAATGTTAATACATCTTTTTAGGGTATAATTTAAAGTACACTTTTTTGTTTACACCTAACATTTTTGTTCCATGATGGCAACACCTTGAATTCTAGGTAACGGTCAAACACCGTCTTTGCTTTTATTTCTTTCGAAGAACATGGTTATGGGCTTGTTTGGGAATAGCGTTAGAGATTAGCGTTAGCGTTTTCAAAAGGCTATCTACGGGCAGCGTTTAGCGTTAGCGTTTTCAAATTAATCTGCACCGTTAAAATTTTATCCAAAACGCTAACGCTAATCTCTAACGCTATTCCCAAACAGACCCTATAACTTATTACTCCATGTTGGAGTATAATTATAACTTTTTTTTGACTAGGTATACCTTACATTCACACATGTCTTGTACATTCGAATTAGTACTTATTTTTGAGTAACAAAATTCTCATTTTTAGATTTTGAATAAATGAATATTCCCTACGTCCTAAAATATTATTTTCATTTCTGTTTACGAGGGTTGACCGATTTTATTTTCAATTTATTTTATTTCATTATAAGTGTAAAATTTAAAAATAAAATTAATATATTTAAAAACTACATCAAATGTTCTACAAAACAAGAAGTGACAAGACTATATTATTTTATCAAATAACTAACAGAAATAGATAAAGAAAGTGACTAAGGTATGATCGTGTCAATAGTAACTGAAAAGCACGTTTTAGGACGGAAGGAATACTAATTATTGTGCATAATTAAATTTTAGAAAAATGAGTATTCATTTACTTGATAATAAATATTCAAGTACCCTTGGTGCACCGGTGTCACTTGTCGGCGACGCGGTGCCCCTCCTGCGGCGTTCATTAGCAATTTCCTTTCGTAATGTGGCGTACCAATGAGTTGCAGACTATAAGGTTTATTTTTCATTAGTGAACGTCATCACTTGTTATTTTATTTTCAAAGTTAAATGAAAACAACGTTGTTTTTGTAAGATATTTATACAAAAACCTTACACAAACATATGTATAACAGTTTTAAAATGCCATTAAATTATTATATTTTTGTCAAAAATCCCACCATCTTTCTTTTTGTTATTATTAAACTGCTATTTGACTTTTTATTACTTGTAAAAAATGTCATCGTCTTACCGTGTAATCTGTTAGTGCATATTTAAACAAAAAAGAAATATGCAACCAAACTATTTTTTTGTGGTAAAAATGCCATTGCTTTTTATTTCAAAAATTTCACCAATAAGTTTTTTTAATCTTTTATTGGCTATTTTTTTCTCTTTCCCAACAAAGTTGTTTCTTTTGAATTTTATTAAGAACTCAATTTTTCAAAACAAAATTTATTATTCGTGACAATGTTTTCATTTGATATTTCTTTTTATAATTAAATAACAAATTCACTAATAAATCGTGAAACTAAAATGATAATATTCTCATTTTTTCAAAGTAATTTTCCTGATTGACTTTTTAAAATCAAACTAGATGAGATTTAATCGTTAAGTACATAGAAAATATATAACAAATTAATAGAAAAAATAAATTTTTAGAAATTTTGTGAACAAAAATACAATTCAAATTTTATTTATATAATAATCAAAATTTGTGGGTTGTACAACTTAAAATGCCAGTAATGACATTTTTAGTGAAATGAAAGAATCGAAAAAGAATAAATTTATTGAAAAAAGGGAAGAAAACTCTTATAGAAAATAAGTCGAGACAAAATAAGATTTAAAAGGAAATTTTTAACTAATTGCTTACAAACAACAAGAGTAATAATTTTAATACTCTCTCTATTCCAATTTATTCATCCAATTAGACTTTTCAAATTAAAGTGAACAAATTTTAATAATTAATTACTATCAATTTGTATCCCATATTCATACAAAAAAATAAAATTATAAAATTTTTAAACAAGATAAATCTAAGTAAATTGTTTTTAGACTAATACATATTATAATTTTTATTTAATTGAGGTCTTTAATTTTTGTCAGTTTGATTCAAAAAGGTCAAAGTAGACGAATATATTAGCCGAAGGTAATATATTAATAAAATCTTCTCTCATATTTGGAAATAAAAAATGTAATACTGTTGAAAAAAATAGTTAGTTCCATTTATTAATTTTTTTTGCTTTAACCAGTACTAGCATGTTAAAAGGAAAGACAGTGGCATATTTGTTAGGTAAAAAAATTAATTATGGTAGTATTATCACAAAATAAAACATAGTGCTATTTTTTTTGACAAAATATACTAATTTGGTGGCATTTTTTTTAACTACTCTCCAATCTTATAATCTCTTCGTTCCAATTGAAAGTTTTGGCATGACAATCTTATAATCTCTTCGTTCCAATCTTATAATCTCTTATTTGATTATATTATTTTATCAAATGAATGACAAAATGTACGGAGTATAAAATTTGACCATGTTGATAATATAATTAAAGATTCAAGTGGGAGGGAAGAGTAGAGGATATATATGGTGCAATCGGTTGTACCAGAAATAAAGTAGTACTCATTGTTGAATTAACAAAAATATTTAATTTGAAAAAGCGTGATACTCATTCTGAAATAGCACCATCATTATTCTGAAATATCGTAATACTCATTTTCACACATTTATTTAATATTAATATAATATTCATCTATGAATAATGTAAGGATAAAGCTACTTGTACCTCAAATTTTTGTACCCCATTTGTGAGATGTGATAGTTTGGTTATTAGTGAAAAAGTATAATGTGATAGGTAGGATATAAAAAAGTAGAAATAAAAGTGATTTTTTAATGAAAAGTGAAAGTGTTTTGTGTAAAGCAAAAAAATAAAAAAAGCAAGGGTTCTTTCTATTAGAATCTCTTCAACTTGGATGAAATCTTCACTCCCACCTAGGGTTTCCAGCTTCGGGTAACTTCGCCGCCACCATGGCCTTTGCTTGTCCTTAGATCTGTCTTTCTCCATCGTTTTAGCCACCATCGCTCCTCGCCATCTTCGCGCCTCCCTTTGTCGTCGCCTCTCCTTCGCTGAGCTTCTTCTATCGTCACCCTCCATTAATCGGCTCCTCTCCTCCTTCGCCGAACTTCGTCTATCCTGGCCTGCATCTTCTGTTTCCTTTTACCGGCCGGCTGTACCCTGGTACAGCCGTATGTATAATATTCTTTGCGGGAAGAGTATGGATTTGGTGGGTGAAATAGAACCCATTTGACCCAATTTCCTCCACTGGTTCCTCGCCAGTAAGGACCGGCACCCCTTCGCGGCGTTTTCCGGCGAGCCTCGCCACGCGGCCTCCATTACCATAGCTCACGACAGGTCTGCGAAGATTTCAGTGTATATATATCTCGTATTCCCTTATTGAATTAACGTGGACATACATACTATTCATATACCCATAGTTTTCAGAATTGGACCGGTCAAGATATTGGTCAAACCAATGGTTTAAAAATTATGTATGTATACATACACACACACATTCTCATTTATAAATACTTAAAGAAAGTAAAATATAACAATTCACTTTCAATGTTAATGATGGGGGTGCTTCAATGTTAATGATGGGGGTGCTATTTATTCAATCTTGTTGTTTCCTTTATAATGATATCTTTGTTTATTTTTATACAATTGCCAATTTTCTCTTGTGCCGTTGCCATTTTTTTCATTATATTGCTTATTGGAAATCTTTCGCCTACTACTGAGTAGAGTACGTGTAATGTTTCAGTTCCCATGTAGAGTTTATCTAAATGATTTTACTTGATATAGGAGCTTATGATATATATATATATATATATGTATATATATATATGTATATATATATATATATATATATATATTGAATCACTTTGTGATTTCTTATTCCCTGAACGTGTTTTGTGATTTCATTGCTTGGTGATTATTTCCATGGCTGAAGACTTTTTTTGTTATACAGAGGTCGCACCGTCAAGACATTGATTGCCATAGCCGGGGAATGATGTAGTCTGGTTTGTTCATTCCTTCTTCTACTCTGACTATATTCTCCATTTTCTCTTCAATAGCCTGCCAATGAATCCTAAGACTTTTTCAACACACTAAACATTTGAATATGTGAAATATGAGAATATATACAAAGTGAAATATGAGAATATGAATTCTACTTCATCTAATTATGAATAAAATTTATCGAATTTCAAATAATTTCGATAAATTTTGCACTCAATTGTATTCAATCTCATTGAATTGGAACAATTTTTAGTAGTAAAAATGAGTGTATTTCAATCAATTTCACTCAATTTTTACCAATTACATTCAATTGGAACAGAACACTATTGCAATTTATCTTTTATATTTGCATATATAAAAAAAGATAAAAATAATAAATGTTACAAAATTTGATACGGTATATCAAAACTATATATTTAAATCAATTCAAATATATTAAATTTATTTCATTAGTAAATATACCTTTTTTCATAATTTATAGTTCGGATTTGTAAAATATGTCACCAGAATAAAAAATGGAAGAAGCCTAGAGGGATTCTAAGGTCTACATATAAAATGTGAAACTCACATTTGTCATGGGCAACATGAGGATCTTTTATTTTCTTAAAAAAGCCAATTTTTTTTGAAAGAGCCCAATTCGTCCATGGTGTTTATATATTAAGATTCATAAAATGAGTGTCGACTTTAGGAACATAGAAGAATTTTCTGAAAAATTGTAAAATAGTATGATGTGAGGACTTGATAGATGGATAAATGTGATATGACCAAAAAAGGATCATGGATAGTTAAATTTTAATTTTAAAAATAACATTTATCAAAATCTATTAGAACTGAAATATATTTGAAAACCAAAATATATCCCACCAAAATGTATCCAAAACCGAAATTTATCTGAACTGTATTTGAAATATTTTTTTGTATGTGAATGTGTAGCTTTTTCCACTAATAAAACCCCTTGAATAAGGTCTATATGAAGACTTTTTAAGAAAATAGTGGATTGAGACGCTTTAAAAAATGTTAAACCATGTCAAGCCAATACCATACCACCCAAGATTTAACCACATCCTTTGTCCCTTTTACTGTTTTCCCATTTTCCAGCACACACTACCACTTTTCAATCAATATTTATTTATACTTTTTGATACCATCAAGAAAGAGTCACTGTTCCACTTTTAAATGAGACAAAGGTAGTGTATGTAGGGGAAAGGGAAAAAAGAATGGAAGGAATGTGAAAAAGAGGGGTAAGCTTCCTTGCAAAGCCAGTCAAACTCACATAGTTTTCTATGTGAAGAAGAGGGGTGTGATTTTTTATCCTCGTTCCAAAATGAAGGGAAAAAGAAGGGTAGGAAATTTTACTCTCGTTCCAAAAATTCTTCATCTCCTCAATAATTTGCTTAAAAAATATATATAGTCAAATTAATTTGAATATTCTTTAATATCAAAGGAATGCTAGTCTACCTTATTTTATAAAATTTTAAAGATATTGTGTTCACCTTGCGTCAATTGTAAATGTGGGGTTGAATAGAACCAATGGCAACAGATACTTCAACTTGTGAATAAAAGTGCACACATCACACAAACACAAATCATAAATAAATTTAAAAAAAAACAAAACAAAATAAAAAGAGAGCAAATTGAAACCTAACTTACACTTGAGTAATTCTATCAACGTGATCTTTGTTTTCCGTCAAACCCTTTAAGATTTGATATATGGCATTAGGGACTGCTTTTAGAAATTCACGAGTTATATTATCTTCATTCCATGTATTAAAGTAAGAACAAATGTTAAATAACTTGTATAAATATCTTACATTAAAATAAAACTGCGTTAAAAAGATAAAAAACAAATATTACTACGTAATGATCTTGCACATATTCTTGACGTTTCTCATGAATAAAATTTTCCCCGCACCATCTTTCCCATGCATGTTATTTGTTATGCAACGGTCATTTCTTGTTGTATACATGTTATAAAGAACGTTTTTTTATTTAAGTTCAATGAATTTTTCAACTTGTTCACATCCGATGAATGCTTATTCAAGAATAGCAGGGCAGGATCGATAAACACACTAGTACAAATTCTTGAAAAATTAGTGTTTTTTTCCAGTGTCCAGAGAAAGCGAGGCAACAAATAAAATTTGAGGCGTATCATATAGAAAGGAAATACAACCTTTCCTTTGAACCTTTCACGAATAATTATCAAATTAAGAAACACTTCGATTGAATGGAATATACGAAGTCGTTAATAAATTTCTTACTCTTTGTCTAACTGGAAATATGAATGCCAATTTTTTCCAAAGTACTCCTTGTTCATGAAGAAATCATGGACAATTACTTTGATTTTATTTAGATCAATATGTGCTCTCAACATAAAATTTGAATCATTAAGATCTGGAATAAAACAAAATGTTATCAGTTAAATGATGAATGATGATAGATGTAATGTAATACATGATCACAACAATTGTTTACCTTTGTATTGTCTAATCTTTACGCTAACACTTCCTATCATCCATCAATGTCCCCCCTTCTACGATAAAGAGTCGTGAATATTTTTTTATATTACAACTCGTGGATGTCAAAGATTATGTGTATGACATAATAACAGTTGTGTCTGACTTGTCATTAAGGGTACAATTATTAACATCAATACACTATTATTATGTGAGACACATCATCTTTGGCATTCACAAGCTGTTGGATAAAAATTTAATCACGTTTCTTTATCGAAGGGTAGGTGACAATGGTGGATGATGGAAAGAGAAGCCTCTCCGCCATTGCCTGCATAGTCATCTTCTTCGTCTTCTTCTTCTAGGTATTTTAATTTTCTTTCTTTTTTTTCGATTTCTTTCTTCTCTACTGAGAACTAGTGTCAAAAATGCTGCAATAGCTGCTACCAAAACTTGTCTAGTCTTTCTGTCCCTTTGTTTTCTATATATATATATATATATATATATATATATATATCTTTCATGTAGTTCATGAATATCTTTCACATTCCACCTGTATTTAAGCCAACAATGAAATATACAGTCTTGAATAGCGGGCATTCGAAGAACAAAATTGGCTTTGTACTCAACAACGCACAATTCAAATCTTTGTTCCCATCCTAACCGCATAATGAACTGATCTTTAGGAATTGAAAGTTTATTCCACACCAGTTGATAGCTCTGCACCTTACTTGAATCCCCCCATCAACCATTCATACCCATTAAGCTTAGTTTGTTTAGCTAGCTTTTTGTGTAAGACAATGAATGTTTGCACACGATGGACTTGTAATACGATCAACCTGTCTATGTTTCTTGCGCATGCTTTCATAATGCAATTGGAGATAATATGTGATTTGAACGTTCTCAACATTCATCACACCTTCAAAGTCCACAGTGGATGTAAATGCTCCTTTTGTACCACATTTACTCACGATTTTACTCAATAGTGCAAGTGATTGCTGTGATATATGACATGCTACTTTTTCTTTCTTTTCTTTTTTTAATCAACTTCTGAATTCTATTTATAAAACCAAAAAATTCATTTCTTGTTGCTGTTGCCACATGCTTGGTTTCTTTTTTTTGTTGTTTAGAGTTATGCTTCCATTTTCGATATCATTCTTCATTCCCTCATTCTTGAAGAAAAAGAGGGGCCCAATGACACGAGGCTTCATCCTTGTCTTTTCTTTTATGTAGATCGGAGGTAGGACTAGAGAAGAAGTTTCAGCAATTTGACAGTTATGTCATCCAGAGAAAGTGTAGCATTGAGATCCCTACACACGGTGGCTGCCACCAATAAGATTATAAACATACCATATGATGTCATTGTCTTGAACGAGAGTCAAGAGGCAGACGGGCATATTTACACGGCATATTACTGGAGAGTGCGATGGAGAGAAAAAAGCAGGCAAAACAAGAGGCAGACGGGCATATTTACACGACATTCACCCCGAATGGGTGAATGGTTTCACATTTTTTCAATCGTCTCAATCCACTTTTTTCTTAAAAAGTCCTCATATAGACCTGTTCAAGGGGTTTATTAGTGGAAAAAGCTACATATTCATGTATAAAAAAATATTTCCAATCAAAGCGCGAACAATACACTGGCCAGGATTGGGATCGAGACATTAATCCCACGGTTATTACATGTGTGAGATAAGCTACTAAACTCAAGTTCTATTTGTGCATGTTCCAAAGTCTTTTTTTTAATTCTCTTCCACTATGTTTAGTTCAAGGAATTTGAGATGGAAAAGAAAAGAAAAATAAGAGTTACACTAGTTTTTTCAAGTTTGGTAAGAGAAGAAAAGAAAAGTGGAAGGAAAAAGCAAATGGGAGAAGAAATGAACTAGTAAGAAGGAAAACAACATTCTTTTCACTAACCAAACATATTTCTTTTCTTTTCCTTTCGAGTTCTAAGAACCAAACATAGCGTTTATTTTTTCCGACTATCATTCCTAGTTATTTAGAAACCAAATTAGAAGTTAGACTCTCAGAAACTTCCATTTGAAAATAAAACTAGAATGCAAAGTTTTACAATGTGGGATGAAAAACACATAAGCTGAAAACAAAAGCTTCTAGTTGTCTGTTAGTGTTAATTGTAAGTGTTAAATCTGCAATTGACTGTGAGTCCAAGAAAATGTTAAAATCTCTATTTGATAATCAAATTGTTTGTAGTACACATGTTAATCCGCGATTTGATTCACTCACTAGACAACTACTTTTGCCATATTCTTTTTGTTTTTCATTTTAATACATATTCATTCGCAACTATCGCGATGCAATCCTTGAACTGTGATCCTTTTTCACTTCTGACTTGTCATTAAGGGCAATTGTTAACATCAAAACACTGTCAGGCACATAGTCTTTGGTATCCACGAGCTGTTGGATAAAAAATATATTCACGGCTCTTTATCAGAGGATGGGGTGGTCGTGGTGGATGATGAGAAGGAAAATATTAGTGCAAAGATTAGACAATACAGAGGTGCACAGTTGTTGTAATTTAGTATTACCTTTATCGTCATTTGACTAATAAGGTTTTGTTTCTTTACAGATCTTAGTGAATCATGCGTTGTGTTGAGAGCACATACCGATCTGAATGAAGTCCAAAACATTGTTGACGGCTCTTTATCGATGAAGACACCGTGTACGGTGATGCGTGTTTAAGGTTGTGTTCTAGTCAACGTTTTCTCCCATTGAATAAGAATATATGTACTTAGTACTTACAGTACTACTTAATTGATGTATCATCGTCCCTTAGTTGTCTTCAAACAAACTAGAGTCATACTAATATTTGTAACAATATTTTCCATATTTAACCTTCTTGCTTGCATTTTATCCTATTTCGATTCCTATGTGGAGCCAAGGATGCACTTTTTTTTGGCTTTAAGGTAATGATGGAATTAAACAAATCGACCCTCATAGTGTTTGCAATAGTTCATTATTCAAAGACTCATACTGTGGAAATTTTGATTCATTCGTTGTTTAATTTTTTAAATTTCTGCTGATCCCATGCACATTTAAAAGTCTTGATTTTGTTTACTTCATTTTTCACTTTTTCAATTCATTTTCGGAAAAAAATATTCCTCATCCTAAATAAATTTTAAATTCCACTTCGAACAGATTAGGTGTTAAAAAACACAGGTTACAGAAAGTGAGTGATTAGTACTCCATATCTATTTAGAAGGTAGAATTATTTAAGAAATCGCCTACAAGAGGATTGCAGTAAAACATACCCTTCTTATCTAAAAAAAAAGAGTAAAACATTATACTTTTATGCCCAAAATAAGATTTTGCATTGTTACGGTGTGACACTATATTTTAACATTCCATAATTTTTTTTGGGTATAATATTGAAACACTGCCTTTAACAGGGTTAGTTATATCTACTCTCTTCGTCCTGAAGTATTCGTCCAGTTTTGACTTTTAGAACTGTTCATCTAAGCACTTGACTCATCAAATTCTCTCAATGTGTAAGCCTAAATATAATCATGTGTGATCTTGTTTGATTTGTCTTAACATATAGATTATTAATATATAATTTCTATAATTTTTTAATATACAAATTACAAGATAAAATGGATTAAACAAGTGTATTGGACGATGTGTAAAAATGAAAGTGGACAAATACTCTAGGACGGAGGTAGTATTTGTTTGTTTAGATGTTATGAATATGATTTATCACTTTCTTCCATTGGATTCTGATTTCTTTGGACATTATTGTCAAGAATATGTTGAACTTATATATATTGTTCTCTTGTTTCCCTGTTGAACTTTTTTACCTGCTCAAAGGTTTCATCATCTTATCAAGAAAAGCATCTCATTTTTCTTTGTTGCAATACTACTTCTACAATAGATGTCTCTCATTCAGATTTGTTTTGTACGAAACTCATTTGTTGGATATATTCCATATGAAGATTAAACCAAACTTTAAAGGTGATTGAAAAGATATATATGGAGAAAGTCTAAAACTGATTGAAAAAGAAAGAGATGTATAAAATTGATTTACTCTTGTAAAAAATACGACACTTTAAAAAGTGGTTGAAAAGATGAAAAAAGTGATTGAAAAAAATAATTTGGTTATGCGGAATTAGAAGTGCACCTTTTGGGGTAGGTTTGGAAAGTGTGCATTTTGTAAGGGGACGGAAGAAGTATTAGATTGCCTATTGTAACTACATGTATATTACTATCTTTTTTTTCTCGAGCATCTGTCCAGTTTTGATTTTTTACATTCAAAATTAGTAAATTTTGACTACAAATTAGATAAAATTTATATTAGATATTAATACAAAATTATTAGGTTTTTTAATATGGTTTTTCAAAATATTGTTTTACCTATTTAATTTATTTATTGATGATATTAAATGTTAAAATAAATTCTATATATTGAAAATCATTTGCAAAGGGTGAAAATCATATCCAAAGTCAACAGAAAATTATTTCTTTTTTTTATTTTTGTAGGAGAAACATATTTTTTTAAAAAAGGAGTGCATATATTTTTATGAAAAAAAGACGAGTAAAATAAATTTTTATAATTAAAATATGTCACAGAAGTGTAAAAAATGACAAAAATAATTATTTGCTACTGCATGACATGTCATTCTATTCACTTGTGACATGTCAAATGCTAACTAAATTTTTTTTGATTGATTAAAATATTTTATTTTACGGTGTAACATTCCATTTTTTTGACGTTGCCATTGGGAATGCTCTAAGCATGACACAACGTGCATCTCAAGCTTAGTAATATACGGATTATATATACTTTATACGCGCGCAATCCGCATACGGACATTTCATGAATTCTTGGAATTCCAAAAGGGGGGTTTCTTGATTCCCCAGAAGAAGAAAAAACCCCAAAATAAAAATGGGAGCTTTGAGGATTTCCCTTTTCTGGTTCTTGATGTCCATGGCGCTGGCAAATGAGAATCCCGATGTCGCCCATATTACCCTCCCGAGGCCTCTGGTAATGGAATACCCGGCAGAAAATGGGGACGAAGATGTCCGGATGAAGTGTACGAGCTGGCGGGTTGCGGCGGAGGCGAACAATCTGCGGCCGTGGAAGGCCGTGCCGGAGGAATGCGGCGGCTACGTGAAGGTTTACATGACGGGGAAAGGGTATGAAAGTGATGTTGCGTTGGTTTCTGAGGAGGCCAGAGTTTATGCCAGAAGTGTGGAATTGGGAGGGGATGGTAAAGATGCCTGGGTTTTCGACGTGGACGAGACTTTGATATCCAATCTCCCTTATTACTCTCAACATGGTTTTGGGTGTGTTTTATTTTTACAAATCAATTTCAGTTTCATATTAATTTTGAATTGGGTGTTCTTGAAATTGTGTGTTTGTTATTGTGATGGTTTTCTATGTTGCACGGATTCTTCAAATAATTGCCCCTTCCCCATCCCGAAATGTCCCCGTTTGGTTATTTCGGACGTCTTCACATCCAAATCCTTCATGAACTTTGGAAAAGTTTGTTTTTTTCCACGTTCCCGACCTCGTCCATGTCTCTGAACTTAGAAGTTTTTTTTATAACATGGGCTCTTCTTAGATGTCTTATATTACCCCGCCATGGTTTTGGGTATGATGCAAAGATTCTTATGCTCATTAATCTATTTTAATTCCATTTCATTTGAATTGGGTGTTCTTGAAATTTTGGTTTTGTGATTGCTCTGTGATGTGGATAGTTGTAAAGTTTTGTTGATAACATATCATTTCAAATCTCCCTTATGCTAAGGATTAGACTTAACATCTAGAGTTTATCGCTTGTAGCCATCTAGAGTTGCTAGGTATTTATAGCTTATCTTGTAGAGTTTGTATTGCTCTTATGTTTCAACACGATTTTGGGTATGATTCTAAACTTGTAATGAGAGCATTAGTGAGTTTTTATTTCAGTACATTTTGATTCCAATGGTCTATAGTTTGTGAGTAGCATCATTTTGAGTTTTCTTGAAGTTTTGTTTTGTTCTTGATATTTGGTTTTCTTGCATTTGTTATGATTTCTTGACTGCCATGTAGGAAAGTTTGGTTCAGGTTTAATGTTGTTGGGTGTACTGAGATTGTATTTAGGCCTTGGTCACCTAAGTTTATACGTTTGGTAAGATGGCGGGTTTGAGATAGACGCTAGGATTAGAAAACAATGGGTCATGTTCTCTGTCTTCCAAGAATGTGGGAAGTAGTTTCCTACCGTTTGGTCAGATTCTTGATCCCTATACATTATAAATTCTTTCAACCTTAAAAAAAGATCGAGCTTCGTAAAATACCATAAGCTTTATCGAGCTTCATCTCTCTCGTATTCTATTGCTTTCGGTCGAGTTATCACATCATAAATCTGATATCCGATGGGATTAATATCCACCAAATACATTTTTTTTGTGTTTCTTTGTGGTTGTAGGATGATTTTGGTTTTCTTTACATTATCTGGCAGTGGTTTTGATGAAATGTTGGGTGATTGTGAGTGATTGCAGGTTGGAGGGTTTCGATGGGGTGGAGTTCGACAAATGGGTTGAGAAGGGAAGAGGGCCTGCAATAAACTCAAGCTTGAAGCTTTATCAAGAAATCAAAGAATTGGGATTCAAAGCTTTCTTGCTGACAGGAAGGAGTGATAGACACAGAGAAGTGACTGAGGAGAATTTGGTAAATGCTGGTTTTCAAGATTGGGATAAATTCATTCTTAGGTGAGTCTCATTCC